ATATATATATATATACATATATATATATATATATATATATATATATATATATATATATATATATATATATATATATATATATATATATATATATATATATATATATATATATATATATATATATATAATTAGCCATTCCGAAGTTAATGAGTGGACTGGGAACGAGTGTTAAAAAGTGCCCAAATTAAGAAACTAAATCACTAAAAAGATCACCTCAAAATTAGTAAGTATACAAAGTTTGAAAACGTTTACATGAATATCCTTCGAATAATAAGCTTTCGAAAATCCAATATTTACTATGAAATGTATTGCAATTTTTGTTTTTGGGACGCGCGTCCAAAAAACAATCTTTTAATCAGTAATTTCATAATTTTCGAAAGCTTATTATTCGAAGAGTATTCAAACTTTGTATATACTTACTAATTTTGAGGTGATCTTTTTAGTGATTTAGTTCATTTCTTAATTTGGGCACTTTTTAGCACTCGTCCCCTGTCCACTCATCAACTTCGGAATGGCTAATTGCGTTTACAGTTCTGTGTTACAGTTTTATAGCTCAATTCAAAATTACAATTCTGTTCTGTTAAATGCACGTTTTTTACCAAAATCCGTAACTGGAAGTGAGGGGGCGATATGTCATCGGATCTGCTCATGATCGATTGTTTTATAAGAGTAGTTTGCGTCATGGTTTTTCGACACTGCACCCTCCACAGTGTATAGATCAGATGTTTCAAAAATATTCCGGGCTGCTATATTTTCAGGGACGCCGCAATGGGGCGGGGGGGGGCGCAGGGGGGCATCGCCCCTTACCCTTTAGTAAGGGGGGCAGCGGGGGGGGGCGAAAGTGCCCTTATAGATAAAAATTCTAACCCAAAAAATATATGGTACAACGATTAAAAAGTATGAATTACGGGTGAAATGTACGTAATATTGAAATATGTGTGAAATTTTCTGGAATATTGTGTCAAAAATTATATTTTCAAAACTTTTTGCCCTTGTTTTCGGAAAAACATACGTCAACATTGCCCCCATGTGCCCTATTTTCGCTCCGGCGTCTGTTCGTCCCTGTATATTTTCTATCGCATATTGTATTTGTAAGACATGGGAAATTGCCACAGAGCTCGACCAAACGAAGTTTTAGTACTGTTTCAGGTAAGTATATCTACTGTCTCTAAGACTAAGTTTGATATAGTTGTGCGACTTATAGACGGTCTACGTACAGCACAACAGATGTAGTAATTTTATTAATACGTACAGACTACAGAGGCCGTGTGAGCTCTATATCATTCCAATTGAATATTTCGTGGTATACAAAACAACATGCAGAGCCTTTTTTCGTTGGATCAGAAAAAACTTTCTTGTACGTGCGCTACGTAACTATTTGGAATTTCAGGATCATAAGTGCAGATTTAAAAATCATTGACAAGCACATGAATTTATTTATTAGCTTTAAAAGCGGGTGCAGTTGCAGAAAAACAAATGAGAAATTGAAAATGTGGTAGGTGCTCGCACTTTAAATGGAATAGTCGTTCTTCACCAAGGTGTAAAGGTGCAGTGTGTAACTATATTCCACGATAACGATATTTACTGACTGCATACATCCATTCTCTCATAGTAACGCGTCGCACAATTTCGATCGCCGTTATTGAGACTCGTAATGATTACCTAAACCAACCAACTTATAAACTCGCTGACGAAGGACTTGAAATAGAACATCGTTAAATCTAGCTCTTTTATCCATTGGCGGCGAAACAGGGGGGCTAGGAGGCTACAGCTCCCCCCCCCCAAAAAAAAAAAGTAGGGGCTAAGGAAAATGGATAAGATTCCAAATGTTGATGCATGTCTATATAAAAGTTGGGCAATTTTAGAGAAAAAATTCAGAAAAGCGGTATACGTATTAAAAATTTCACATATTTAGCCTTCGTTCGCTTCGTTGCTAGGCTGAGTTTGGAATTGATCACTATTGAGTCCTTCGTGACAGTTCGTGTGATCCAGCATGGATATCGGATGGTGAGGAAGTCACAGTTACTGTTACAGTACAACTACAAGTGTCAAACAAACGTGAAGAATATAATGATTTTCTTTTGTTCGCTTCAGGAAATTCAAAATATTTTACTGAATGTTGTTGAAGGAAATAATAGAATCTCATGTTGGATCTTTAACGCTAGAAGAACTAGAAGATATTTTCGCAGGTATATATCATTTGAAATATTATTTATGGTAATTCAATTCGAGAAAGGGAGGGCAGTATGGGTCATAATGGTCCTTACTGATTTGCTGCAACACTGATGAGTAAAACAATATCAAGCAAAATTCTAATAGGAATTTCCAGGATAATTATTAGATAATTGAAAAAAATTTTATTGGCTGTGAAGGGGAAAAGATGGTCATATTCAGCAAATTCTCTCACAGAATCCCGCTCGCATTTTCCAGCGGACTTGCGGTGAAAATTTGAAAGCTTTACAGTTTAATTGCACATGCATAACTGACCAATTTGTGTAAGATGTCCGCTGAAAATACAAGCCCGCACGAGTGGAAGAAATTTCGCTAATTTGACCAACGCGTTTCAGTTTGAATGTTTAACATTTTCAATGCGTATTCGGTACTCAAGGTTACTTTGTGGAGTGCGATTTCAAAATTGTTTGCATCAGCTTGAACTGTAATCGCATCTTTTTTCCGACCAATCAGGTTTGGTACCCGGACATTTTGCCGAACGGACATTTTGCCGACGGACGTTTTGCCGAACGGACGTTTTGCCGAACGGACATTTTGCCGAACGGACATTTTGCCGAAAGGACAACTTGCCGAAAATAGAGATGTTCTTTCGTCAAAATGTTTGGGACTGTGCCTCATTTCTCAACTTTATAATTCTCAACCATCATGTAAAATAAACATTATATGGTATTAGCAATGCATAATTGGTCATTAGCAGTACATAATCATATTGACTATGGGTAGCTTGTTTGTGCAGCGGATGACTCATTTGTTCGGAACGTGTTTTGACGTCACATCGTAAACAAGCAAGCGTATATAAAGACAACGTCGTAAGCGAATTTCACTTCGAGAATCATTCAATACATTCACAGTTCTTGGGGAAATCGCATTCATGAATGATGTTGAATGATGTTATTCTTTATATTGCGAAATTTCGGTAAACTTGTCAAAAACTTGACTGAAATATAGAACGAAACTATACTTCGCTATCAAAGTTTCTGTCATCAAAATCGACAATGACTCTAATCACAGAAACCAAAACCTTGTAAGCGAACCTTTAAAGTTCAGAAGATATCTCTGTTTTCGGCAAGTTGTCCGTTCGGCAAAATGTCCCCAGCCAATGAATTTTAAGAAAAACATGATCATACAAATGACCAAATCAAATTTGATCATAAATGGTTGAAGTAAAATTTGTATTAGTTATTAATATAAAGCTGCCCAAATTTTTTAATACTGGCTAGGCAAATCTAAAATTACGTACCAAGAAATTTTTCACAAATGATGGGCAAACTAAGAAGAGGGTCCTGAAGGGGGGGGGGGGCGTATTCCCATTTCCCAGCCCAAACGTCGACTAAATCCCATTGTCCCAGAACAC